ACCTACAGACTTTTTCAGTACAATTAATAGTAAAATGATCCTGACATCCTGTGACGTTGTGTAATGTATTTATAGAAAAAGTTGGGTTGGTTGCTTTATTTAGAGGCCAATGGGTGAAATACTTAATATTTACGTAAGCTTCATCGACCAAGTGTTGGGACGCAGCTGAAGGGGGGCTGGGGAGGCGGACGGACTCGCTGATTGGCTGAGCCTGCGGAGGGGAGGAGGTGGGGTGGAAACCAGTTGTCAAGTAGAGAATCTGCTGATGATTTAGCGTTCATAAAGTGACACTGAACATTACTAGAGCACACTGAAGACATTTATTATTTTTTAAACAATACTAAAAGGAAGATCGTTACCTATCACTCGTGTTTCACCTCGGGGAAAATTCACTAAGTTGTCTACTCGCGCCATCGTACATCGACAACGTGAGGGACAGAGGCGGGGGTCGGGGGGATTAAATTGAATGATGGAGACAACACTAGACTCACAAAATATTGGATGCTCACCTTTTCGAATTTTTCCTACATTTCTACACCCAAAGAATTGCTTCTCCTCGTGACTCATTGAGCACGGGTGATTTAACATCTCCCGCGCAACTTCGTCATATTCAACGAGATGCACGATAACCTTCCTTTGTACTTTTTTACCTCTCCCGGGGCGCTAAAACGTTCATTCATGATTATTCTTTAGTTTTTCCAATATTGTACATCGTAAAGGACAACTTTAACTATTCGTCAGTGAGTAGGGAGGGAGGGCATTTTACGGTTGTGTGGAGGCTGTCAATCACGGGAAACGAGGTGCAGAATATAACATTTACAGATACTTAACATTCTTAACTTTTTTTCCAAGCAGTTGAAGGACACGTTTTTTATTGCAGGACGGCCTAGGTCTTATTAAAGTCCCGGCGGGGTCACGTGGCCTGTGTGTTTGTGAGGGGACAGTGACGGCGATGGGGGGTAGTGACGGCGGTGGGGAGACAGTGACGGTGGTGAGGGGACAGTGACGGTGGTGAGGGGACAGTGACGGTGGTGAGGGGACAGTGACGGTGGTGAGGGGACAGTGACAGTGGTGAGGGAGACAGTAGCGGTAGTGAGAGGGACAGTGGCGATAGTGAGAGGGGACTGTAGTGGTAGTGAGAAGACAGTAATGGGATGGTGAGGAGAGTGTGACGGTAGTGAGAGGCACTGGTCACACCCCACCACCTTTCTACTGAACATTCACATTGTCTCTCTAACTCTATCCTTCATCTGAGTCACTGACGGAGGATCGTTCTAAAGAATGATCCAGGCTCAGATGCTTCACAATCCGAACAACTCGAACCGGTTCATCATGGGAGTCGAACCGGTTCATCATGGAATTCGACTCGGTTCATGATGGGGTTTCGAAACGGTCAATCTTGGGACTCGAGCAGATTCATTTCGGAACTCGTGCGGTCATGTGTGTCGGTCGGGACAACAAGAATTCCCTCGGTGTTGTGATCTCACGACACAACACAGCTTCAGAGTCATCATAAACAACACCCACCAGGAAACGACAAATCATATATAAAAAAAAAGCTGTAAACCTCTATATCAAAGACGAATATAACCAACACTATACACCAGGATACATATATTAAACACATTTTCACCCCTCTCACTGTGACCCCCATCCCCCCCCCCTTCTCCACCCCTCATTGTGACCCCTTCTCCCTTCTCTCCACCCCTCAACACTTTTCTCACTTCACAGCTGTCGTAGGCCTACTCTCACAATCTTTTGAGCTTGTCTTTTTTTTCTGAGGTTTCTACTCACTCTTTTTTTTCTGTTTCTCTCACTCTTTCTTACTTACCCTTCCCGTTCTCTCTATATCTGTTTAATTGTTTTTTGTCTGTCTGTCTGTCTGTCTGTCCCACTTAACCTTTATCCATCCCAGATACATAAGATGGAACAGATACACTACTTCTATAAACCTACAGTAAACCTTAATATTTACAGTGAATGAGACACCATACTTCAAGAACTATACACTGTTGGACTACCTCACTTCATAACAGTCACCATATAAGAATCACTGTATCCGTAATGCATACTTACATATTTGCTTTTATTATATACGTGAATTTATTAAGTGTTTAAATATAAAGAAGTGTCCCCTTGATACAACTTCATGTGTAAAGAAAACGGATGGGGACTCAGGAGTGTTGGTGGTCCCCTGCGGTATGCCTTCTGCAGGGAACAATGTATCTCCTTGTGTGTGTGTGTGTGTTTATACTGATATCTACGTGTAAACATATTTTAACGATATATGTATTCATCTCAAACTACTTCATGTATACCTGCATATTCGATAATACATACATGTAAACATTTTCAATTATATATCTACACCATTTATACATCAGTGTTGATATAACTTTCATCACCTTTCAAAACTAATCTATTTTTTTTTCCAGTTCTAATCGGATATCAGAACACAACTTACTTATTTTAGTAGCATTTAATAATACAACAAATACTTCTGATTTAGATACCACAGTATGATGTGTTCATTACATAAATATGACTGAACCTGTACGTCACACCTGAGCCTGTACCTGTACGTCACACCTGAGCCTGTACCTGTACGTCACACCTGAGCCTGTACCTGTACGTCACACCTGAGCCTGTACCTGTATTTTATGTATTTACAGCCTATGAACCTGATCTGTATTGATGGTCCTAAGTAATACTATTTTGAATCTGATTCTCATTTACAGTATACTAATGATTCTGAGTAAACTTATGAATCTGACACTGTATACTGATGATTCTGAATAAAACTTGTAAATCTGACATTGTATACTGGTGATTCTGTATTTTATGTATTTACAGCCTATGAACCTGATCTGTATTGATGGTCCTAAGTAATACTATTTTGAATCTGATTCTCATTTACAGTATACTAATGATTCTGAGTAAACTTATGAATCTGACACTGTATACTGATGATTCTGAATAAAACTTGTAAATCTGACATTGTATACTGATGATTCTGAATAAAACTTGTGAATCTGACACTGTATAATATTGATTCTGAATAAATCTGACACTGATTCCCAATAAACATTATGAATCTAACGTAGACTAACCATTCTGACAGATCTGAATAAAGTTCCGAATGTGACTCCGACATGTGCTAATACTTCTGCACAAACCTTCTCACCCTGGATCTGAATTAGCTTTCCTTCACAGGGCCGTCGGTCGAAGTTCAGTAAATAAACTCGTATATTCAGGATCCCTCTCTGGCCAGGACGGAACAAGTCGGCCCACCTCCAATACCCGGATATTCTCAATATTTACTAGTTCCAGGAAGACATAAACCCAGCTCACATCCGGACGTATCCGCGAAAGGCCGGATGAGGGAATAGACGTGCTGCCGTTCCCCATGTATAGTTCACAGTGATTTGATACATATATATGTATGGTACAGTAACACACATCACTGTAATTGTGTGTTGTGTGTGTGTGTGTGTATGTGTACGTGTATGCATGTGTGTGTGTGTGTGTGTGTGTTGATGTACGTGTATATATGTGTTTACTTGTACATATATGTGTGTATGTATTTTCAGAACTTTACTAAGGAATTTGAAAGGATTTTTACAATACAGTTCCCTCAAAAAACACACAAAAAAAAAATACTCTAAAAACGAAACATCAAACCCATGGCCGAGAGTATATCTGGTCACGGGACTATGGAATATAATAAAGGATATCGGAATACACTTTTCAACAACGACAAAAATTGACAGCTGAAATGGAACATCAATTCAGTCGATGCAAAAGACCATCAGTGGGCCGCTGGATTCATCTGGGCAGGAATTTAAGGAACGCAGGTTTTACGAGTCATACATAGTTCACTGGAATAACAACAGGGGCGACTATCCCTTTCCTCCTCCTCCCCCTTCCCTTCCCCTTTGTCACTCCCCTTCCCTCCTCTGCTGCCCCCCCTCTATCCCATCTCCTACTCACTATCCCTTCCCTTCCCATTCTTCATTCCCCATCCTTTTCCCTGCCCCCACTTTCCTTCCTCCTTTGCCACTCCTCTCCCTATTCTCTCCACTATCCCTCCTTATTCCTCTTCCCCATTTCCCTTTCTACCCTGGATTATACTCAAGTGTGTAGCAACCACACCTGGATAAAACAACTCCTGGATAAATGGCAATAAACGGGAATAACAACAAAGAGAGGAATGGATAAGTGGCACCAAATGGATACATAAAAGCAGAAATGGATAGGTGACAATATTTTAGAATTTGGAAATGAATGAAATGGATAGAATAACGTTGGATAAATATGATGGATAGATGGATGATTAGATGACACAAAATAATAATAATAATAATAATAATAATAAATAGAAGGACGACAACAAAAGAAAGTAAACAAATTATCGTACAAGATTAATGAATTATCGTTTAGTATAATATTACATTACGGTTCCCCAAGTACCTCTAGTGTGTGTGTGATGCTCTTAGGGTCTACAGACAGGCACCATTTGTAAATATTATGATGAATATTAAAACAAAGTAAAAAAAAAAAAATTAATATACGCCTACAAATAACACAAACAAACAAACACACACACACACACACACACACACACACACACACACACACACACACACACACACACACACACACACACACATACATACCGATAAACAAACACACACACACACAATGTTTTATTTTAACTCAAAACATTATCAGTGTTTAACCAGCCAGCCAGTTTAACCATTAATAGTGACGTAATAAGGTAGAGGTTTGCGCTGATTACTTTTACCTATACGTTCGTCTCGTCTCACCTGGTCAACTATACCTGGCTCCAGCTGTAGGTGAGATAACTGGCTCTATCTGGCTCTAATGGTAAATAAAAGATGAGAGAGAGAGAGAGAGAGAGAGAGAGAGAGAGAGAGAGAGAGGAATAAGGATAGGGAAAGATAATAATAATAAGCTCGTCTCTTCCGCCCTTCCATAACATGTTCCAGGGACCTCCGCTTGGTGAGTGGCGTCATTGTTTATTTAATAACGTGGCACTCATTCCAGATACTGTCCTCCCCTCCCACTCCCCTTCCATCCCACTCCACTTCTACCCTCCCATCCCACTCCCCTCCCACTCCCCCACTCCCATTTAGCCTGGAAGGGTGGCCTCAGGGGTCTGGAATTCTGGAATTTTCACTATGTGCTGTTGAGGGTTTGTAGCTCATTCCATCTGACTTAAATAAAGTTTTTGTACTGGATAAGAGGGAGGGCTACCATCACCCGTACTGGATTAGAGGGAGGGCTACCATCACCCGTACTGGATGAGAGGGAGGGCTACCATCACCCGTACTGGATTAGAGGGAGGGCTACCATCACCCGTACTGGATGAGAGGGAGGGCTACCATCACCCGTACTGGATAAGAGGGAGGGCTACCATCACCCGTACTGGATTAGAGGGAGGGCTACCATCACCCGTACTGGATGAGAGGGAGGGCTACCATCACCCGTACTGGATGAGAGGGAGGGCTACCATCACCCGTACTGGATGAGAGGGAGGGCCATCACCCGTACCCAGGGCTACCATCACCCGTGATGAGAGGAGGGCTACCATCACCCGGATGCCATGAGAGGGGTACTGATGAGAGGGAGGGCCATCACCCGTACTGGATGAGAGACAGGGCTACCATCACCCGTACTGATGAGAGACAGGGCTACCATCACCCGTACTGGATGAGAGGGAGGGCTACCATCACCCGTACTGATGAGAGGGAGGGACCATCACCCGTACTGATGAGGGAGGGCTACCATCACCTGACTGATGAGAGGAGGGCTACCATCACCCGTACTGGATGAGAGGGAGGGCTACCATCACCCGTACTGGATGAGAGGGAGGGCTACCATCACCCGTACTGATGAGAGGGAGGGCTACCATCACCCGTACTGATGAGATGAGAGGGAGGGCTACCATCACCCGTACTGATGAGAGGGAGGGCTACTATCACCCGTACTGGATGAGAGGCAGGGCTACCATCACCCGTACTGGATGAGAGACAGGGCTACCATCACCCGTACTGGATGAGAGGCAGGGCTACCATCACCCGTACTGAGGAACACACGATTTTAATTTCCTTTAAAAAATAAAGTAAAAATAAAGTGAAATATTTTTTTTTAAATACGAATTAAATAAAAGCAATAAATAAATAAATAAATAAAAACAAACTATAAAAAAGTAAAACGAATGAAAAAAATAAAAAATAAATGAACGAAAATATAAACAATAAATGAATAATCCAAACAAAAATCAGAAAAAAAATCAACAATAGTCATTAATTAAAAAAAAAAAAAATTCAACCAACAAAAAACAATAAAAACAAATAAAACATCAATTAGTGAACCATCGTAAAGACAGATCGCAATTACATAACTTTCGACAAAAAAATTCAGTTCTTTATCAATGATGTAATTACCTTAGTGTAGGCAAACAAAGAGACCTTAAGAGGTGATGCTTTAACCACGAGAACGTCAAGAGAACTTAAAGAACCGCATAAGAACCGGAAGAGAACAGCAACGAGAGAACCACAACAAGAGAACCACAAACACCACAGGAGAACAAGAGACCCACAAGAGAACCACAGGAAAACCCCAAACACCTCAAGAGAGCCACAACGAGAGAGCCACAAACACCACAAGAGAACCACAAACACCTCAAGAGAACCACAAACACCACAAGAGAACCACAACGACAGAACCACAAACACCTCAAGAGAACCACAAACACCACAAGAGAACCACAAACACCTCAAGAGAACCACAAACACCAAAAGAGAACCACAACGAGAGAACCACAAACACCTCAAGAGAACCACAAACACCACAAGAGAGCCACAACGAGAGAACCACACACACCACAAGAGAACCACAACGAGAGAACCACAAACACCACAAGAGAACCACAACGAGAGAACCACAAACACCACTCATCCCAACAGAGTAAATTAATCACACATTGGATTGGTGTCAAGAGAACCGGGGACGCGAACCAGCCAAGGCATAAGCAATTAAGCAACAACCAATCACAAGAGAGTGGTTCCAGGAGGAGCCGATAGTTCCAGACGTAACGAGCTAATTGGCTACAGGCGGTAGTTAAGCGTTAAATGTAGCTGAACAGTAATGGTAGTTGATGGTAGTATACAAGGGTTGGAGTGATGGTGGATGGTTGGGTGGTGGCAGTGGTAGTGGCCGGATGGTTTTGATTGATGTTGGCCGGATGGTTTTTCAAATGGTGGTGATGGCCGGATGGTTTTCATATGGTGGGGATGGTCGGGTGGTATTTCAAACGGTGATGTTGGCCGGATGATTCTAATGATATTGGCCGGATGGTTCTAATGGTGTTGGCCGGACGGTTCTAATGGTGCTGGCCGGATGATTCTCATGATATTGGCCGGATGGTTCTAATGGTGTTGGCCGGATGGTTCTAATGGTGTTGGCTGGACGGTTCTAATGGTGTTGGCCGGACGGTTCTAATGGTGTTGGCCGGATGGTTATAACGGTATTGGCCGGATGATTCTATTGGTGTACTGTAAAGTGAAAATTATTTTTTGCACTCATGATGGCCGGATGGTTCAGAGACACTGGCCGGAATGGTGTTTTTGGTGGTGATGATCGGATACAAATTCTGGTATTGATAACGCACCGTATGATGATTCTAGTACCGACGACCGGATGGAGAATTCTAATCTACCCGGCCGACCAGCTGAGTGGTGTATTAACCTTGCTGCCAAAATGAAGAAGAAAAAATAGCTGTTCAAATGTTCAAAACTCTTCTTTATTTTGTTAATGGCGGCCGCATTGACCTTACGAAGCTTACTATCTACTTAGTCATTTTTTTCTCTCTGACTTACTTTCTTTTTCTCTCTGACTCACTTTCTTTTTCTCTGACTCACTTTCTTTTTCTCTCTAACTCACTTTCTTTTTCTCTGACTCACTTTCTTTTTCTCTCTGACTCACTTTCTTTTTCTCTCTGACTCACTTTCTTTTTCTCTGACTCACTTTCTTTTTCTCTCTGACTCACTTTCTTTTTCTCTAACTCACTTTCTTTTTCTCTCTAACTCACCTTCTTTTCACTACACTTCTCTCTTTTTTTCCTCCTTTTCTGAGAGATTATTCACAGAAAAGTCTCTCAGTCAGAAAGCCATCGTGTTTGTACCTTTAGAGCACAACGCGGGTCTGGCAATCTTGTACATAAATATATCAAACTCATCAGTGCTTTGTTGTCGAGTGGTAAGCAGGACGGGCCCTGAGTGTGTGTGTGTTACGCCAGGTACGTCCTTATGAGCGACCGGCGTTAAGGGTCATTATCGCCCACCTCCTCGGCCATTCATCTTTACGCTCTATTCAAGATCAGTAAATTAACTTGCCCTTGAATGCTCAATTTTCCCCCGAGTGCAATACCTGTGATACCAAGAAATGAAGAATTGATAGAGTTTCTTACCTGGCTGGCTGCTCTATGAATACTGTATATGTTTGTGTGAGTTTATGTATACTGGTATGTATAATTTTTATCTATTTACTTATAAAACACATTTATCTACGTATTTTGCCGAGTTGTTCATTGACGTGTATGTGTACGGAGTAGTCAGTAGTGTACAGTATATGATATGTACCGGACGTATGTAGGCTTGGTATATGTTTTACCTGTGTCCAGTATAGTCTATCCACTTGAGTTAATACACACAAAAGCCACATATTTAAAACAAAAGCCAACAACATCTCCAGGAAACACGTTTAACAGCGATAACACAAAAGACCTCCAAAGCGAAGCCTTAAATAACCAACTCTTATGTATATTGTGACACCTCTCTCTCTCTCTCTCTCTCTCTCTCTCTCTCTCTCTCTCTCTCTCTCTCTCTCTCTCTCTCACACAAGAAAAGGGAAGAATTGCTAACCCAAATATCATATCCCAAAGACAATATAAAAAGAAAGTCACCTTTTCCACCGGTTTGAAGACTCGCTCTAAGATCCCCAAGTTATCAAAATAAAAACACAGAAAGTAAGGGAACCGCATTTATTTTACGAGACAACAGGAGCTCAACCCCCCACTTCCTCTCCCAACCTCCCTCCCTCGGCCTTTCCCTCTCCTCCTCACCCCCTTCGACCCTTCACCTCCCCTTCAGCCCCTCACCTCCCCCGCCCAGCCCCCTCCTCCCCCTTCAGCCCCCTCCTTTCCCCTTCAGCCCCCTCACTTCCCCTTCACCATCTCCTCCCCCTTCAGCCCCCCTCACCTCCCCCTTCTACCCCCCCCTCCCCCAATATTTGCTTTTCCAGCCAAGAGTCCGTCTGAGCCCTCCTGTCAGAATTACCTCTGTTTATTTTTGGAGATGGGGGCCTCACTCTCCTCTGAGACTTCCTCCTCCTGCCGGGGCCGTCGTCGCTTCTGCTCTTGCTGGCTGCTGCGTCTGGTGCTGTTGATGCTGTTGCCAAGGGCTCCTGCTGGTGCTGGTGGTGGTGGTTGTGGTGAAAGCCAATGGTGTGGTGGAGGTGGTGGTGTGTGTTGGAGGTGGTTGTAGTGGTAATGGTGTGGTGGTGGTGGAGGTGAGTCAGTAGTGGTGGTGAGGTGGTGGTGAATTTGTGAATGGTAATGGTGTAGTGGTGGTAATGGTGTGGTGGAGAAGTGGTGGTATGGTGGAGGTGATGGTGGTAGTGTTAGTAGTAGTTGTGGTGATACTTTCATTGTTGTTTGGATGTTGCTCCAGCTGGTGGTGATGGTAGTGGTGGTGATGGAGGTGATGGTGGCGGTGATATTGGTGATGGTGGTGATGGTGATAATGGTGGCGGTGATGGGTGGTGATGGTGATAATGGTGGTAGTGTTAGTAGTAGTTGTGGTGATACTTTCATTGTTGTTTGGATGTTGCTCCAGCTGGTGGTGATGGTAGTGGTGGTGATGGAGGTGATGGTGGCGGTGATATTGGTGATGGTGGTGATGGTGATAATGGTGATGGCGATGATGGTGACAATGGTAGTGGCGATGATGGTGGCAATGGTGGTTGTGGTGATGATGGTGGTGATAGTGACAATGGTGGTTGTGGTGATGATGGTGGTGATGGTGGCGGTGATAATGGTAGTGATGGAAGTGAAGATGGTATTATTGATGGCGTTGATAGTGATAGTGGTGATGATGGCGAAGGTGGTGGTGGTGATGATGGTGAAGATAGTGATGGTGAAAGTGATGGTGCTGTTTCGGGGGGGGGTGTTGTTCTGCTACACCTGCGGCTGTTACGCTACCTGTCCTGTTTACTTTGTAGATGAAAACGACACTTCCTCACCAGGTATTACACCTGTTACTGTTGATACTGTTACTGTTGGTACTGTTACTGTTGATGCTGTTACTGTTGGTGCTGTTACTGTTGGTGCTGTTACTGTTGGTGCTGTTACTGTTGGTGCTGTTACTGTTGGTACTGTTACTGTTGGTGCTGTTACTGTTGGTGCTGTTACTGTTGGTACTGTTACTGTTGGTACTGTTACTGTTGGTGCTGTTACTGTTGGTGCTGTTACTGTTGGTACTGTTACTGTTGGTGCTGTTACTGTTGGTGCTGTTACTGTTGGTGCTGTTACTGTTGGTACTGTTACTGTTGGTGCTGTTACTGTTGGTGCTGTTACTGTTGGTGCTGTTACTGTTGGTGCTGTTACTGTTGAGTGTTTGTTGTGTTATTGGTACTGTTACTGTTGGTGCTGTTATTGTGGTGCTGTTACTGTTGGTCTGTTACTGATACTGTTACTGTTGGTGCTGTTACTGTTGGTACTGTTACTGTTGGTGCTGTTACTGTTGGTGCTGTTACTGTGATGTTACTGTTGGTGCTGTTACTGTTGGTGCTGTTACTGTTGGTGCTGTTACTGTTGAGCTGTTACTGTTGGTGCTGTTACTGTTGGTGCTGTTACTGTTGGTACTGTTACTGTTGGTGCTGTTACTGTTGGTGCTGTTACTGTTGGTGCTGTTACTGTTGTACTGTTACTGTTGATACTGTTACTGTTGAGCTGCTACTGTTTGTGCTGTTACTGTTGGTGCTGTTACTGTTGAGCTGTTACTGTTGGAGCTGTTACTGTTGGTACTGTTACTGTTGGTACTGTTACTGTTGGTGCTGTTACTGTTGGTGCTGTTACTGTTGAACGTTACTGTTGGTACTGTTACTGTTGGTGCTGTTACTGTTGGTGCTGTTACTGTTGATACTGTTAGGTGTTACTGTTGGTGCTGTTACTGTTGGTGCTGTTACTGTTGGTGCTGTTACTGTTGGTACTGTTACTGTTGGTGCTGTTACTGTTGAGCTGCTACTGTTTGTGCTGATACTGTTGGTGCTGTTACTGTTGGTGCTGTTACTGTTGGTACTGTTACTGTTAGTGCTGTTACTGTTGGTGCTGTTACTGTTGGTACTTACTGTTGGTACGTTACTGTTGGTGCTGTTACTGTTGGTACTGTTACTGTTGGTGCTGTTACTGTTGGTGCTGTTACTGTTGGTGCTGTTACTGTTGGTACTGTTACTGTTGGTGCTGTTACTGTTGGTGCTGTTACTGTTGATACTGTTACTGATGGTGCTGTTACTGTTGGTGCTACTGTGAGCTGCTACTGTTGGTGCTGTTACTGTTGGTGCTGTTACTGTTGGTGCTGTTACTGTTGGTACTGTTACTGTTGATACTGTTACTGTTGGTGCTGTTGTGCTGTTATGTGGTGCGTACTGTTGAGCTGTTACTGTTGGAGCTGTTACTGTTGGTGCTGTTACTGTTGGAGCTGTTACTGTTGGTGCTGTTACTGTTGGTACTGTTACTGTTGGTGCTGTTACTGTTGGAGCTGCTACTGTTTGTGCTGTTACTGTTGTGCTGTTACTGTTGAGCTGCTACTGTTTGTGCTGATACTGTTGGTGCTGTTACTGTTGAGCTGTTACTGGTGCTGTTACTGTTGGCGCTGTTACTGTTGGTACTGTTACTGTTGGTGCTGTTACTGT